ATTTGAGGGTGAGTAATTAGCTTTGCTGCCAAATAGCAAGTTAACCCTTCCAGAAATACGATCAAATTTAACTCTACTCGGTTAGATGGCTATTTCAGCATATTAACTCGTCATCAATGAAGTCAAATGTAAAGAATAGGTAGCAATAGAGCAGAAGCTCTCCCTTCTGGTCCTCCCGCAGGACGGAAATAGATGCTCTGTGCATGTTTACAAGAAGCAATGGAAGACACAACAGAAAAATTATGCTGTGGCAAGTCCTCCATTGGATCCATATTTTTTTTCCTTTTACGAGTGAACTGGATCCATATATTTAAAGGGGAGACAAAAAAAAAAATACTACTCCTCCGGTCCTTAATATAAGACCCATTAACTAATTTGATTAGATTAAGGAAGTTAGGTAAGTTAATTAATTACAAGAAAAGTGACACATTTTTCCTAAAACACCATAATCATCTTTCTTAATACCCCATCTCCCTCTTCTACTTGATTATGGTTGAGAGACTATCCATAGGGGTAATTTAGAGAAAATTGATAAATATGATAAATGAGTCTTATATTTAGGACCAAAACTAACTTAAAAATTGGGTCCTATATTAAAGACCGGAGGAGTATTGCTTTCAGAAGTGACATCATTTCAAGACTTTACCTGGATACATATAAAGTTGAATATACATATTTTTATTTTATCAACAAAAGCGTGAGAAGGTGCCATTAAGAAAGAGAGAGAATGTAACAGTCTCTCGTGTTCTGATCTTTCTGAACTGTGGCATATTGCTGCACCAGCGCATTTTTGAATTAACGTCTAACCAGCACAGCAAATCTGATATGCCAATGTAAAAGGTGTGTGTATATGAGCTACATGAAGTTTAGCACACTGATGCTGGGAAATCTTAGCCACAAATTCTGCAATATTTTGATCAGAACTTCCTCCCTTATCAATAAAATTCCCAATCAAATTCTTCCATTTGTTGGCATTGTCCTTCATCTCTTTTCCCTTTTCACTTTCCATAACTTGCTTTATGCAATTTTTCACCATTTCTCGTCTAAGAATCCCTTTCTCGTCCAATGGAGCTCTGAATCCCATTTTCCGAACATCTACAATAATATTCTTCGAGTTAGTGCTCTGATCACTCCAGTTTGGTACTCCAATCATTGGAACTCCTAAGCTCAAAGCTTCCAAGGTAGAATTCCACCCACAATGAGTCACAAAGCATCCCACAGACTCATGTGACAATACTCTTACTTGAGGACACCATGTCACTATCAAACCCTTCTCAGAGGCAATTTCTAGAATGTTCTTTGGTAGCTTAGCCTCTTCAGATTCCCTAACCACCCACAAGAAATAAGTGTCAGTATCTATCAAACCCCATGCTAGTTCCTGCATTTGTTCCTCACGAAGGGATGCTATACTTCCAAAGGAGAAATATACAACTGTTCATTGAGGCTTTGTATCATTGTTGGGTTTGAACAAGTTTATATCATAAGCATCATCGTCTTGGATCCTCTTGTCCAAAAACAGTGATGGCAGAGTTGGTCCTATCGTCCTCAATGGCCACATCTCTCTCATCCAATCAGCAACCTGACAGCTTTTGATGATTAGTTATGTAAAAACATATTGTTTGGAAAATATATTAAGGTGCATCTAACACCTTCAAATATTTTTTCATGTGCAATCAGCACTCTAAAATATTTTGTAGTGTATCCAGCATCTCAAAATATTTTTTAAGGGCCCCCGGCACCTGGAAATATTTTTTTTATCTTGGTGCTGAATGCACCAAAAAATATTTTTAGGTGCGTCTATAAAAAAAATATTTTGAGATGCTGGATGCACAAAAAAATACTTTACTTTGCTGGACACACCTAAAAAAATATTTTAAGATACTGGATGCATCGCAAAATACTTTAGGGTACTGGATGTAACTGAAAAAATATTTCGAGGTGCTAGATGCATGTTAACCCAATAATATATGACCACAAAGCACAGTTTCGAAGCAAGCATCCAGAAATTGGTCAAAAATATTTTGTACGGAAGTTTTATAAAACAAAATGAAGCATGGGTCTGGACACTTCAAAAAGTGCTTTTGAGCTTTACGAGGCACAATTCATCTCGCACATTTATATTTATACTATGCAAAATTACTTTTAAAAAGGAAAATAACAAAAAAAGGGGTTAAAAATTACTAAATCCTAAATCAAATTTGGTGATAACACTTTAGTTGAAATTGATAGCACTAAATTTGTTAATAACAACAAATTTTTATTAACAATCCCTATTTGACATTTAGTAATTTTCAGTTTTTCTTCAAATATCATTTTTCTCTTTTAAAAAGTATTTTTTCATAAATTAAAATAAATTTTTTCATATATTTACTTCGTATATCGTAAAATCATTTTTAAAACCATGATTTTTAGTTCTACTCAAACACTCCCTTAGAATAAGATGGTCTAAATAAGCCAAAAAGGAACTAAAACACGGAAGAAAATTACGAAAGTTGAAATTCTTGTAGAGCCTCCTTCGATTTCCTATGAAAGGAGCCAAAAAAATCTGAGGAGACGAAAAAAGGAGCGTAAGTGAATTTGACCACACGAAATACTCGCTGGGATGAGTACTTTAGATTCATTCCTCATGTAGCATGCCAGGAGTCCAATATCAGAGCAAATTAAAAATATAATTTCTCATATAAACGCATATCTCATGCTCCAGTTCATAAATAGTGTTGGCAAGGACCCAATCTGCTTTTCCAATGTTGGAAAAATGCTCAACAAGATAGTCCCAGAAAAATGAGTACATCCCATATTGAGCAAATAAAAACGATGGCAAATCTGAAGGTTCAAGTTCTGGTAAGTGAGGAAGCAAAATTTTGCTCTCCTTGATCGGAGGTTTCAAAGTCCCTTGATGAAGATGGAAGTAAATGATATTAACAGTACAAGACTGAGTCATAAACGCAGCACCAATAAGGCCAAATTTCTTGGCCACATCAAGAACCCATGGAAGGAAAGTATCATAAATCACACAATCTACAGGGAAGCTCCTTTTTGAGAGCTTGTCAAGAACTTCACATAGGGTCTAAGATCCTACCTCCCGAAAGCGTTTTATATAAGCTTCACCACTTTCTGCTGCTTTTCTTCCTCCTTCATCATAGCTATCTGAGATGGTTTCGAAAGCTATGGAAGATTTAGAAGTGGGTTGGATGGTAATGGTTTTCCAGGAAGAACGAGGGATAACAAATGTTGCCTTCACTTCATGGTGTTGTAAGCGCTTGGAGAACTGAAGCATTGGGTGACATGGCCTTGTAACGGATGTGGCACTAGAAGGCAGCGAGCCTTCCACTGCTTCTCCATTAATGTCTCTCGTGCTCAGATCATTTCTCATTTCCTTTTATATGGCCTGCAATCAAAGGACACACTAATTCGCCTATTCACACACTTCAATTAATTCATTAGACTTAAAAAAATTGTAGTTACCTCCTCCTCATCATCATTATTATATTATTAATAAAACTACAAGCTTGCGTTTAAAAAAATTTACGGGGTGGTAGTTAATGTTGATTGGGCTAAAAATCCGACCAATGATTCGGGGTCTATGTATAATTTTATTTGATTTTATTTAACCAATGAATGAAATATGTCACCACTTAAAACGGGCGACTTTATAAACATGACGCGCACTTAGAAAAATTTTAGTAGCTCAAATTTGATATCATTTTAGTTTAAAATTTCAGATATTAAAATTGAAATGAGGTCAAATTTTAAAAACAAAAAACTATTGATTTTAAATTTTAGGGACTAGATTAAAATGATATCAAATTGTAGGGATTAAAAATGTTATTAATCTAACAAAGAGTTGGTCTAGCAATGTAAAAGTCCACTAGAGTTCTTTGGGTCCTGAGTTTGAGTTCCAGAGGAGTCACCTTTATAAGAAAGAGAAGTCATGAATCTTAAACCAGATTAGTGAGATGATAATATAAAAAACATGATACCGATGACTCCTCACCGGGTGTTAGACAACAGAGTAACGTGTCTAGATAAGATCGAAGGAATTAAAATAATAAAAAAAATAGTGTCCAGCCCCAAATTATTTATCTTGGGGCGGGGCAGTGACAGACGCAATTGCAGACAAATTAATTTAGCGTAGGTGGTAATTATATTTTCTGACCAAAAGATTCCTTTCCTATTCAAATATGGAGGCATTGCCCATGCATGGAGCATAAATTAATTATTTGGTTAAATTATAGAAGTTGAAATTGCACTCAAGATCCTCATCTTAATTTTTAGGTGTACTTGGCATCCTAATTTTTTTAATAATAGAAACTTTGATCATTCACATTTATTCTCATTTTGTTTTTGGTCTTTTAAGTTTTAAAACATAAATTTCGGTTCTTCAAGTTTTTTTTATTTAAAATACCGGTCCCTATAATATAATAAAAATTTGAATTATTTTACCCCTTCAGGAACCAAAACTTATGGTTTAAAATTTGAGGGACTAAAATCAAAATGAGGACAAACTTAAAGAATAAAAAAATTATATTAACCTTTTTTTTAATAATCGAATTTTACTTATGATCTGTTCAATTTGATGCAATCTCACAAATTCTTCGGTTTTATGATTTCATTGTAATTTGGTTACTTCATATAAAAGTTGTTAATGATTTGATAATGGGAACGTAAAAGTTGTTAATTTTAACTGTTAAAATGAATAAAAGGAAAATGATGATTTCAAATAAATAAAGAAAGGATGAGATTGCACTAAATTTAAAAGATCAAAGATAAAATTGTACTACTAAACAAATTAAGATATGGTACTTTGCCCACTAAAAATAAAGGAGGCAACAAATGGACGCGTATCTAAGACACATCGGATGGATTTGGAACAACGTAAGTACTTGCTTGTTCATGTCTAAGATAAAGGCAAATGAATAAACAGATAGAGAGGCCTTTTAGCACAAAAATGATTCTCTTTGTCGTCCTTTTACAGATTTGGTCTCAACCCGCCATGGCTTGATCCGCTTCAACGGTGGAGTTTCATCCTGGCTTCCATGGCCTCCTTCCTTTGATATGCCAACATAAGAAGTGTTTATATGAGCCGCATGAAATTTCAAATCTTTCATTCAGACTCAACTATAGCTAAAGATCACGAAGCTCACTAGTGCTGAGAAATCTTAGCCACAAATTCTGCAAGATTTTGATCAGAACTTCCTCCCTCATCAACAGAATTCCCAATCAAATTCTTCCATTTCATGGCATTGTTCTTCATTTCTTTTCCCTTTTCACTTTCCATTACTTCCTTTATGCAATTTTTCAACATTTCTCGTCTAAGAATCCCTTTCTGGTCCATTGGAGCTCTAATTCCCACTTTCCAAACATCCACAATGTCCTTCAAATTAGTGGTTTGATCACTCCAGTTTGGTACCCCTATCATAGGAACTCCTAAACTCAGAGCTTCTAAGGCAGAATTCCACCCACAGTGGGTAACAAAGCATCCCACAGCCTTGTGTGACAGTACTCTCAGTTGGGGACACCATCTAACTATCAAACCCTTCTCTGAAGCAATTTCTAGAATGTTCTTTGGGAGCTTAGCCTCTTCAGATTCCCTAACAACCCACAAGAAATAAGTGTCAGTATCTATTAAACCCAATGCTAGTTCCTGCATTTGTTCCTCACTAAGAGATGCTATACTTCCAAAGGAGACATATAAAACTGTTGATTTAGGCTTATCATGAAGCCATTCTAAGCAAAGATCATTGTTGGATTTGAATATGTTTATATCATAGTCATCATCATCTTGGATCCTCTTGTCTAAGAACATGGATGGCAGAGTTGGTCCTATTGTCCTCAAAGGCCACATCTTTCTCATCCAATCCACCACCTGAGAGCTTTTAATTATCAGTTCCATAGAGAAGTACTAGCCTTGTAAATAAATAAGCCCACAAATTATAGTTGTGAAAGAAGCATCTAGAAATTGGTCAACATATATTGGCGTAGGGAAGCCTTACCACATGATGGATTGTGCCAAAAAGAACTAAAACAGCAACAATAACAAGCACTGTTTCATTAGGTGGGGTTGGCCAGAAAAGAACTAAAACACAATAAAATTAGGGATCTGGAAATTCTTGCAAAATCCCACCAATTCAAACCAAAAGTTCAATATGAAAGCTAACAATTTCACAAATAAATGATTCTATATATGCCTGAAGACCTGCATATTCACATACCTGATGCTCCAGTTCATAAACAGAGTTGGAGAGGACCCAGTCTGCTTTTCCAATGTTGGAAAAATGTTCAACAAGATAGTCCCAAAAGAACGAGTACATTCCATATTGAAGATATAAAAAAGATGGCAAATCTGAAGGCTCAAGTTCTGGCAGGTGAGGAAGCAGAATTTTACTCTCCTTGACCGGAAGTTCCAAAGTCCCTTGATGAAGATGGAAGAAAAGGCTATTAACAGTACAAGATTGAGTCATAAACGCAGCACCAATAAGCCCAAATTTCTTGGCCACATCAAGAACCCATGGAAGGAAAGTATCATAGATGACACAATTTACAGGAGGGAGGCCATTGTTGGAAGGCTTGTCTAGAAGTTCTGATAGGGTTTGAGATCCTACCTTCCGAAAACGTTCTACATAAGCTTCACCACTCTCTGCTGCCTTTCTTCCTCCTTCATCATAGCCATCTGAGATGGTTTCGAAAGCTATGGAGGATTTAAAGGTGGATTGATTGGTAATGGTTTTCCAGAAAGAACGAGGGATAACAAATGTTGCTTTCACTTTGTGGTGTTGTAAGCGCTTGGAGAACTGAAGCATTGGGTTGACATGGCCTTGAGATGGATGAGGCACTAGAAGGCAGTGAGCTTTCCATTGCTTCGCCATTAATTTCTCTCGCGCCCAGCTAGCTGGTTATTTGACTTATTTCTCGTCTCCTACTCTCCTTTATATCATGTAGCCTGGATTCAAACTTCAAAGGACACGTTATTGTTTTGCTTTAGTTCTATGGACACGTCGATGCATAAAAGAGAATGCCATTTAAAAATGATGCACTAATGGGAATCAATTTTTGTTTTTAAAATTAAAAAACAAGCACTAACATATAAAAAATATAGACGGAATCAGGTTTGTAATTTTTTTAATTTTCAGAACAAAGATCATTGACAGTACGAATCAAATCTAATGGATGTTTTTGACAACGTTGAACACGTAGAGTAAGGCCCACAAAACGACCACATGTGGCCTTTAAAGGATATTTTTTGTTTTTTAAAATATTCATGGATGAGTACCTGGCATTTTAAAACTCAATATTCTTTTAACATTTCGGTTATTATGAATTATCGATTTTTTAAATTTTATAATTTATAATAAATATTTGGTGGAGACTCACGGCTCACATTTTTAGGTTACCTGGTGGTCAATTTGGACACTACCCGGCGACAAATTCTTGTGTTAGTTCAAAGTTTTTGTTTTTCTACCACCCTGTTTTTAGTATTTATTTATATGAGATCGTATAATAGAGATAAGTTTTGGACAAAAAAAAAAGTATAATAGAGATAAGAGACAAATGTGGGGATTGAGCCCAATTTATTGGTTTCTTTTTTAATTTTCTAAGAAACTTGTTTATAAGTGCTGTTATTAATAGTATTGTAGAACTTGTTAATTGCGTCATTGAAGTTGTAAAGATACTATTTTTTTGAATTTTCTTGAAGAGTTGTTATTAATTGCTATACTGAACTTGTTAGTAGTATCAAAAAACTTGTTAATTGCATTACTGAAGTTGTAAAATTCCCAAAAAAATAGTTGTCCGCTGCTAGAGTTCCTGGTCCTTGGCCAACTACAGGAACTTCGGTGACAGTGGCCCACCTAAACTTCAGCAGCCGCCACTGGCATTAGAGCTGCAACGACCGACTGGTCATTAAGTGCACCTTAAGTGCACTTGACATGTTTTCTTAAAGAAAAGGAAAAAATTACACATAGGTCCTAAATAACACAATTTATTAATCTAAGGTCTCATAAAATCTCAAAATGAATAAGAAGTCCCATGGGACCTGAAAATAATACATTCTAAATAAAAAATTACGTCATTATTCCTATTCCGACTGACAAGTTCATGGTGTGAATTAACAAGTTCATGGAGTAATAAAAAGCTATTGACAAGTGAGGGAATATTAGTTGATAGGGGTGTGCATGGACCAGACTGGATCGGATTTGTTATCAACTCGAAGTCTAGTCCAGTAAAGACCTCGGCTGAAAAAGACAGTCCAAGATCTGGTCAGTCCAATACCAACCTGAGGTCAAGTTGGACTGGACTTGGTCCTTTGGATTGCCTAGACTCCAAGACCTAAATTTAATTTTTTTTAAAATTTTTTTCTTCAATAGGAGGCAAGATTGTAACTTACTATATAAAATTTTGTACATATTTTAATCAAAAGTTCATCAAATTTGATCATGCCCTTTCAATTTCCCTATAATGTCATATTTTATTAATTAGTCCTCATTAATATAGATCTTATATTGTAGAAAATATATACACATGTTCATTACTTAGAAAGTTAATAGATAAATCTTGATTATTTCAATAGACAAAAAACTAATATAGAAAAATTAAATCAAATTAAAATTATATAAATAATAATTAAAAAAACTGGGCTAGACTAGACTGAACTAACTGGTTTGAGAGGCCAGTCCCTAGTCTAGTCCAGCCCGATGAGACCAGTCCGGTTCAGTCTGGTCTAGTCTTGTTTTGGGCTAATTTTTTTGGATCGGACTGGAGCGGGTTTGCTCGGATTGGAGTGGACCATACCAGACCATCGGGTTTTTGCACAGCCCTATTAGTTGACAACTAAATTGAATAATATAATCTTTACCTAAGATCAAATTATTACAAAAGAGTATTATATAATAATTTTAAGCTAAAATCATGTATGACCAAAGCATACATATTAATATTAGATGAAATGATAGGTTTATATCATAAATTTGTTGCAAATAGCCATTATCAAGCTTATGAGTATAGATTAACAAGTTGATAGAAAGCTATTGACAAGTTAGGGAGTGTGAGTCCATAGCTAAATTTATCGAATAATATACCATATATATAAGATCAAATTATAACAAAAGAATATGAGAATTTTTCCTAATTTCGTCTTATGTGGAGGTTATATTATCCTATAAATTTACTTGCGAACTCACACTCCCTCACTTGCCAATAGCTATCCATCGACTTGTTAATTCGTACCCATAAGATTGTTAATGGTTGTCCATAACAAAATTATGATATAAACTTATCATTCCGTCAAATATTAGTGTGGATGCTTTGGTCATACATGATTTCATTTCAGCTTAAATTATTATATAATACTGTTTTATTATAATTTGATTTTATATGAAGATTATATTATTCAATTAATTTAGTTGTCAATTGACACCCCCTACTTATCGATAGTTTCCTATTGACTTATTAATCCACACTCATAAGCTTGTTAATTGAAACAGGAACAATGACAAAATTTTTATTTAGAATATCTTACTCTCAGGTCTCATGAGACTTCCTATGCATTTTAAGATTTCAAGGGACTTTAAATTAATAAATTATGTTATTTAGGACCTATATGTAATTTTTTCACAAAAAAAGATAATGCGGTCATTTCATCAAATTTGTAAATATCAATTTACTCACTTATATGCTGAAATTTTACTTATTTAAATGATTACTTTGAAATTTAGAAATTTTTTTAATTTTTCCTAATTAACTTATAACTTCGCATTTCAAAAAATTTTGAAGTAAGTACTTGAAGTGATGTCAGTTAAACTACCTTCCGGATCAATGGTTCAGCGTTATATATTCAAATCTGACTATAAAATTTAATTAATTAATTTGTAAAAATTAAGAAAGTTGAATAAATTATTTTAAAGTATTATATTTATTATTTTTAAATTAATTTAATTGATCTATAAATTAATATATAATTTAATGACACATACAAATATTTTAAAAAGATCATGTATATTTTAATAAATTAATTTTTTAATTTTCTCAATATTTCTGAATTAGTCAATTGAGTGTTTAAAATAACTTATAAGCATTTTTTAATATAATTTACGTACTATGTAATAAGGATACAAAAAATTTGTCTCAATTTATGTAATGCGGTCATGGACTTCTTTATCTCTTTATACTTGTATTCACTGGTTCTTAGATCTATATTTCCTTAGCTCCATATCTAGTTGGCTTCCAGCTCCTCCCTTGTGTTAATCTCGACGTGAAAACTCAATCAGAAGATGAACAGTACCCAACTAGTCTTGTTGGCCACCAACACAAGAAGAAGCTCCAGTTGGCGAACTCTCCCTTTTCCAGCGTGATGAAGACGATGATTAGTGCCCCCAAAATCATCTTAAAAGCACGATTTCATAAGCTATAATGAGTAGGAGAATCTTACTTCTTCAATCAGTTTAAAAATCACAGCTTTTGGTTATAATTGAGATTGAACAAAAACTAAACCAAACATAGACCAATCATAATTATACCTTTAAAAGCTACTTGACCAGTTCTCAGGTGCTCATGCAAACAGAGCCAATATGATTTCAAAGAGGGCTTTAAATGCACAACTTTATTCAACATGATCAAAGGTTAGAAAAAAAGCATCATTTTATTAAAATACGTAAATGCCATTGCCTTGTTTTTCTAGATGGGCGACGACAACGATGACCCCTCACGATATACGAGAGAAGAAAGTATCAAGTCTACATAAGATCCAAAACCAGTTGAGTAAAGAATTTCAAGTTGATTTTGGTATTGATGAGTAAATTTTGATATTTATTTAGTGTCCAGCCAAAAATTACTCATCCCGGGTCGGGGGAGTGACACTGTGACAGATATAAATAAGAACAAATTAATTTTGCGTAGGTCAGAATTGAATTTTCTGACATGTTATGTTCCCCATGCAAGGAGCAGAAATTACTTATTTCGATAAATTAAAAAAAAAAGGAGGCAACAAAAAATACTGTGCGTACTCGCTTGTTCAAGCCTCTGATAATAGACTCAAAAGGCAAAGGGAAAAACAGATAGAGAGGCCTTTCAGCACACAAATGGCGAGGCTGATTAGCTCAAACCACAGTGCGTCTATCACAAAAATGCTTCTCTTTGTTGTCCTCTTACAGATTTGGTGTCGACCCGCCATGGCTTCGGCTGCAACAGTAGAGTTTCTTCCTGGCTTCCATGGATCCCTTCCTTTCCAGCTTGAAACTGGGTATGTGTCTCATTTGTTCATCGATCTCTAATGATTTATCAGCTTCATTCATTAAATGAAGGAGATATTGATTTTGTATTTGGCCAGGTATGTGGGAGTTGGGGAAGGAGAAGAAGTGCAAGTTTTCTATTATTTTATTAAGTCAGAGAACAATCCTGAAGAAGATCCTCTCCTTCTTTGGCAATCTGGGGGTCCTGGTTGCTCTAGCTTCGTTGGACTTGTAAATGAAATAGGTAAGCCATCTTCATCCTCTTCAAGTTTAATCTTCGCGGGTGTCCTTTATTCATCTAAATAATGATCATTCATATAAATTGGGTTATTGATCTGAAGTCCTTTAATTTTGTTTTCCCACAAAATGATCGGTAATGATTGTTTTCCCATTTGTTTGTTATTTAGGTCCGCTTGCATTTATAAACCAACAATACAATGGGAGCTTGCCTAGCTTAGTCTTGAGGTCTCAATCATGGACTAAGGTTTGAATTCTATGTCATGGATTAATTCCTAATTAACTTGCTTTTAGTTAATTTGGAGGCAACAAGCATATATGTTGATTTTGATTTGATTTTGTCTATATTTTCATGATGTGTAGGTTTTATAGGGCCAATCTGGCTTCCTTTGTATTTTTTCCCTGAAAAAAGCTAATACTAAATAATGTGACATGATAACTCATTAAAACAGATTTTTCTTTTTTAAAATATTCTTGACACAAGATTGGATTAAAAATCTACAGTTTGAATATGCAGTAGCAATATTTATATGCTATTCTGCATCTTAATATAGGATGTAATTATTGAGTTGATCTTATTTCTTAATATAAGACATATTTCTCATATTTATAAATTTTTCTAAATTACTTTTATTAATATTCTCTCAACCATAATCAAATAGGAGAGTGAGAGAGATATTACAAAAGATGATTATAGAATTCAAGAAAAAACTTGTATTTCTTATAATTAACTAACACATCTAACTTTCTTAATTTGAACAAGTTAGTTAAATAGGTCTTATATTAAAAATCGAAAGAGTATTATGTAACAACTAATTGATTTTATGTGTACAAACGCTTTTACTTGATCTGCAGGTAAGTAGTATTATCTTTGTAGATTTACCTATTGGATCAGGCTTCACTTACACCAAAGCAAAAGGAGTTGTTGGGCAGAGTGATTGGATCCTAATTCATCATGCCCACCAATTCTTGAGGAAGGTACATTAATTCAACATATATTATCATCAAACATGAACAATGACATGATTAACTTCTTGACGTACGTTCTATGAAATTATATGATATAAATAATGTTCAAATAATCTGTAACATCAATTAATTTTGATTCGTAGTGGCTGATCAATCATCCGGAATACCTGTCACATAAAGTTTATCCAGCTGGTGACTCCTATGCTGGCATTCTTATCCCAGCCTTGTTTCAAGAAATTTCACACGGTACAATTAATACTATCCCTGGTTCTTAATGCAAGATTTAGTTTGTAGTTCAACAAACTAAATCTTATATTAAAAATAAGGACTATGTATTCATGTGGCCATGCATATACGTTAACATGATAACCTAATGGTTCATTACCTATGCTTGTTTCAGCCAATGAAAATGGGGTTCAGCCACAGATAAATATCCAGGTTTCAAATCATAGTTCTCTCTATTTCTTGTTCTAAATTAAAGACAAGGTTATAAATTTCAAGAGTTAAAGGACATATAGCTCCCATTTAGTAAGAAGTATTGAAATTGATATGTAGGGATTGAGATTGAGATTGAGAAAATCTATTGAAAGAGTATTTAACATAAAGAATGGCTTGTTACATGAGATTGGACAAACCCATGGTATTTTCCAATCTCACGTACACGAGTTTATCCAATCCCATGTAACAAGCAATTACTTATGCTAAACACCTTTTCGATAATTTTTATTTTTAATATTTCATATCAAACAGGACCACACAGTAGTCTCAAACTTGTGTCACGTATAGGGATACATACTGGGGAATCCAGTGACAACTAAACTTGAAATAAATTATGCAATCCCTTTTGCTCACGGAATGGGACTCATCTCGGATGAACTCTACGAGGTAAATATATATATCATAGTGCGCAAGTTATATTTGATGTAGCTAGGTAGATGTTCTTAAAATGATTATTTCTGAAGAAGAATAACATATCTGAGTTATTATTGATTCCACAAGAACAGTCATTACAGCAGAACTGTAGAGGAAATTACCAAAACATAGATCCCAGAAACTTGTTATGTGTCAGAGATTTCCAGTCATTCCAAGAGGTAATATATATAATTAACCAACTATTGAACTAATATTTTAAACAAAATTGGGTTAGTTTCAGTTGTTCGGTTTCTGTTCGGTTTCAGTTAACTGCAGAAGTGGATCATGCTCAGATTTTGGAACCAGCCTTTTGCGGTTATGATTTAAACTCGATGCCTCAAGGAAGAACTATTTTGAAGAGATCTCTAACTCAGAAAGTGAAGGCCAGTGACTATACCGCATCAAGATGTCGGGTAATTAATATTATTCCTAATGGTTATATTCATTTGGTGGACTTACTTTGTTATTGTTATCTTCTGAATTTATACACCTCCATCCGCTAGCAACTTTGTGTGCGAAGATCAAAATTCGGTTAATTACCTTAGCTAAGCCAAATAAATAATTGGCCTCTTTTATAACCTTAAGCTCGAGGAACACACACATATATTTATATAGGGTTAAATACCTTGAAAGCGTCAACGAAGAAGCACCTAGCACCTAGAAGTTCTTCTTTGCTCTCGTTTATCTGGGGAAGTTTGTTTCATTGCGTTTTTACCCTGAACGGTCACCTACCGTAGGTTTCAATGTTGAAGGCACGAGTCAAATTATATAATTTGACGATCAAACTTAAAGGTACATACCAGCCCGGGCATATTTGCTATGGCAATAAACTTTTAGGACATATAAAAACAAAAGAGAGAAAAAATTTTCAGGTGTTAAGTGCCTCTTTCTGGATACTTTTGGGTATTTAAACACCTTTACCCATCTATATTTATTGATGTCTACTAATCTCTGTGGTTGTTCAACATTATTGCCGATGTTTTTCACAGAGATACGAGTATCTTGAAGCCCAATATTGGGCCAATAATGATGACGTTCGCAAAGCACTCCATGTTCGAAAGGTTTGGCCGAGTATATTATTATAACCTTCTAAATTCTAATATTTAATTAAAAACAAACATTTCAGACCAGAAAAAAAAAATAACAACAAACATATATACTCCTCTGTTCTTAATATAAGACCCATTTAACTAATTTGATTAGATTAAGAAAGTTAGGTAAGTTAGTTGATTATAAAAAATATAAAATATTTTTCCTAAAACACTATAATAATCTTTCTTAATACCCCTTTCCCTCTTCTGCTTGATTATAGTTGAGTAAATATCCATAAGGGCAATTTAGAGAAAATTAATAAATATGAGAAATGGGTTTTATATTTAGGATCAAAACCAACTCAACAATTGAGTTCTATATTAAGGACCGGACGAGTATATATACATACATATATATATATATATATATATAAGCCTGATAAACTTTTATTTTTTCTTTGGTATCGTTTTTATTGACTGATCTTATTGTTGCAGGGGACTGTAGGACATTGGGAGCGTTGTCGTAATATTACAACGTATAAGTCTGATATCAATAGCAGCTTTCATTTTCACGTAAATCTCAGTGCAAAAGGCTATCGTTCTTTAATATACAGGTAATTCACGTTTAATTTATTACATTCTAGCTCCTGTCTTAATTTGCATTACAAAATGAATTTTATATTTATGATCAGAAAATAATACTATTCCGATCCTTAATATAAGACTTATTTAACTAATTTGATTAAATTAAGAAAGTTAGGTAAGTCAGTTAATTATAAGAAATACGACATGTTTTTTCCGAAGCACTATAATCATCTTTCTTAATATTCTTTCTCCTTCTTCTACTTGATTATGATTGAGGAAGTATCCATAAGGGTAATTTAAAAAAAATTGATAAGTATGAGAAATAGGTTTTATATTTAAAACCAAAATCAACTCAACAATTAAATCTTATATTAAGAACTAGAGGAGTATATCATTTTTTTCTTCTGCACAAAATATTGAGCGTCCCTATTCTATATATCTTTTTCATTCCATTTCATTTCTTCTTTCAGTTTTATTGTCTTGAAAACAGAATTTTACTTGTGTGTGCATATGTAGTAAAGAATTGTGTTGCTTTTCAATTATCTACGGAAAAAAAAATAGAATTACTGACAGAATTTAGCAATGAAAATTAACAAAAAATTATCGCTAACATTTAGTGGTGAAATTAGTGACAGAATGAAATTCTGTATGACTACTATGTCACTAATTTAGAGACGAAAAAAATTTCATTTCTAATCTATCAGTATATTTAGTGATGAAATAATTTTCTGTGACTAATAAACTGTTTTTTTTTTTAGTGATGACTGATTATAAAAACTTACATATAATTGGTTGTTTATATATATACACACACACAGTGGGGATCATGACATGATAGTTTCTTTCTTATCAACACAAGCATGGATCAGATCTTTGAATTATTCCAATGTTCATGACTGGAGGCCTTGGCATGTCAATGGCCAGGTTGCTGGGTATGTTGATTTCCATGTCAATTTCTCTCTAACTTTCAACACTCAGAAAACTGCTTATTTTCTTAATCTTTCAACACACACACACACACACCCACCTTTCAAGTTAATTGCTTTGCGATCAAATTATTTTTTGCAATAGGTACACGAGGACGTACTCCAATCGAATGACATTTGCAACTGTCAAGGTATGAAATATGTACTTTTTTAGTTTTAATTAAATACCAAAACACCATTATTGACACTATTTTTTACCCTAGGAGAAAGAAAAGTGAAGGGAAAATAGTGATTTGGGGGAATAATAATAATGATAATAATTGCAGGGTGCCGGACATACAGTTCCAGAGTTCAAACCTGAAGAAAGTCTTGCCATGTTCAAGAGATGGATAGCTAACGAGAATCTCTAGCAATACTGATATCTTGTGATGTTTGTAGTATGTCCCATCTTTTCCCAAAATAATTATAATAAATCACAAGTCTCTGTTCTTGTTGAACTTCTATTTCTTGCATGACTAAATCTTGAAAATTGACATTTACGCCCCAAGAATTTAATTCACTGATGCAGAAAAAGCTTTTAACGTCAATTAAAAGTATCTTTTAACACTGGTTTTACAACCGATGTAAAGAATATTGATTTTCTAATAGAAAATCATTATTCCAGAACCGGCATAAAAGTTTTGTTAAAAAAATAATCATGATCAATCTTTTAATAATTTTGGTTGTTACAAAGGATCAAAATCAGTTGAAACATTTTCATTCAGACAAGAGTGATAGCTTAATAGATGCATTTAATTAAAGCTGCAAGTAATGGATATCTAAAATGAAACTAATATTTGCAGGTGATCTTTTTCAATACAACTTTTTAACTTTCGGGGCCTAAATGTCATTTCTCGTATTTTCTCTAAGCACATCATATGCTCCCTCAGGTCTTTCAGAAATCATAGTGATGAATTCTTCAATATTTTTATCTGAACTTCCCCCTTCCTCCATTGAACTCTTGACCACGCTCATCCATTTGATGGCATTATTCTTCATCTCTTTCCCTTTTTCACTTCCCATTACTTCCTTTATGCAGTTTTTCACCGTTTCTCGTCTAAGAATTCCTTTCTCATCCACGAGAGCTCTGATTCCCACTTTCCAAACATCCACAATATACTTCAAATTCGTGGTTTGATCAGTCCATTGCGGGAATCCGATCATAGGAACTCCCGAGCTCAGAGCTTCTAAGGTAGAATTCCACCCACAGTGGGTAACAAAGCATCCGACAGCTTCATGTGACAGTACTTTTAGTTGAGGACACCATGTCAATATCAGACCCTTATCTGCAGAAACTATTTCTCGTATGTTGTTTGGGAGCTTGACTTGTTCAGATTCCCTAACAACCCACAAGAAATAATTCTCAGTTTGTATCAAACCCCAAGCTATTTCCTCCATCTGATCCTTACTAAGATTTGCTAAACTTCCGAAGGAGACATAAATTACTGATGCTTTAGGTTTATGATGAAGCCAGTTCATGCAAAGATCAGTGTCGGGCTTGAACATGCTGATACCATAGTCCTGGTCGTCTTGGATCTTCTTGTCCAAGAACATGGATGGCACTGTTGGTCCTATTGTCTTCACTGGCCACATCCTCCTCATCAAATCAACGGCCTGGCCAAAAGCTTTCATTTATCAATCTCTATGGTTGAATTAGAAGGGCAATTACTAACAATCTCAGATACATAAGCAGGATTAAACTCGATCCCCTTTCGCCAAAAACAGAAACACAATTTTCAAAACAGAGATTTTTTTTTTAAGGCCACAATTGAAAACCAAGGCAGATATCAAACAAACTAAGCTAATAATTCTACCAATTAATAGCTCTACTATATATATGCATTTAAACTCATACATACCTCGGGCTCCAGTTCGTAAACAGTGTTTGCAAGCAAGCAATCAGCTTTTCCAATATTGTTAAAAGGATCAACCAGTACGTCCCAGAAGAACGGGTACATCCCATATTGCAGAAACAAGAAGGATGGCAGATCCGAAGGCTCAAGTTCTGGTAATCCAGGAAGCAAAATCTTACTCTCCTTATTATCATCAATGGGAAGTTTCAGAATCCCTTGATGAAGATGGAAGTAAATGGTTTTAACAAAACAAGGTTGGGTAAAAAACGAAGCAGCAAGAAGGCCAAACTTCTTAGCCACATCAAGAACCCAAGGAAGGAAGCTGTTATAAATAACACAATCCACAGGCAAATTACTGTCCAAGAGCTTGTGAAGAAGCTCAGATAGAGTGATTGGTCCTACTTGCCTGAAGCGTTCTTGATAAGCCTTTGACTTCATAACCTGGTGATCGGCTCCTTCGTCGTAGCCATCAGAGATGGTCTCAAGAACTATGGAATCAGAGATGGTGGGTTCAGTAACAGAGGCTTGTTTCCAGAAAGAACGAGTGGTGACGAAAGTGACCTTCACTTTGTGGTACTCCAATCTCTTGCAGAATTGAAGCATTGGGTTGATATGGCCTTGTGCAGGATAGCACACAAGTAGGCAGTGAGCCTTCTGCTGCTTCGACGCCATTGTTGATGCTCAAGATTTCCGTATCCGGTTTGATTTTGGGCATGTTTGGATTGGCGTTGGAAACGGCAAAATATCTTGAAAATACTGAAAATGAGATTGCCAATTGAATTGAATAAAAAATATTGTTTGGTTGGCTTAACCTTTTCAACTAATTTCTGATCTTTAATTTTATTTGAACTCAACAGAAAAAAATATAACTAACTTTTCAAGCGGTAATTTTAAACAGTAATCATTAAAAATAAATATTTCAAATTTACCCTCACATTTTTCTTTCTATCTCATCTCCTTTATTTACATAATAAGCTTTTTATTTATCAGGCATAATAAGTTTTTATTCAGACCAAATAAATTTTAATTTATAGTTATGTTTGTCCATTATATATATTTAATTAATTATCTACGATGTATTTTCAAATTTATCTACAATGGGTTTTTAAATTTTTCTCCGTAACAAATTTTTTTATTTTATAATTTCAAAAATAAATTATTTATATTTTATCATAATAATTTTATTTATTTTTTAAATTATTATCACATTAAAAACATAAAATTTTAAACATTATTATTCAATAAAATCTATATCTTTTTCAGTTATTTTATAACTAAACTAATTTTTTTATTAATCATTCAAACAATTTTTAATTTTTTAACTGATTTTTTAAAAACACCTACCTAAATATATCTTCAATTACAAAAATTAATTAGAGTAAAAGTCATACTTTTTGACGGTGGGTTAATTCTAGGCAATTGGATCATGTGGGAGTACAGTGCATGTGGATAAGAAAGTGCGACCTGTGGCCCTTTCAGTTTGTCAGGTTTATGGACAGGGTATCGTCATTATCATGGTCTGGCCAAAAGTCTCTTTTCTTTTTTTAAGAGTTATCAATTGCGGAATCGTAAGGTGTTTAGATTGGTTTTTTTAAAAATAATTTTTTATCATAAAATAAATGAGTGAAAGTAGTTTTGTTTCTATTTATATGAAAATATTTTTTTATAAATGTTATTTTAAAACCAAACTAAATTTTAATATTAGTTAGCTTCTCAATTTTTTTAAAAAAGCTACAAATATTAATTAAAATAGTTACAAACAGGAATCTTAATTTGCAGTGGAGAACACAATTCTTGTATATATTGCAATTTAATTTATATTTGAGTAGAAACTAAATTATATTTTAAAAGTAATTTTGTAATATATTAAGTAAATATATAAGAAAAATTTTATTTTAAAATAAATTTGAAAGATCTACGCGGGCACCTCTTATTCCCAACGTTTTTCGTCTAAGAATCTCTTTTCCCTCCATGAGAGTTCAAAGTCCCCCTTTTCAAACATCCCCAATATATTTTTTATTTGATTTTATGTGAACAATGAATAAAATATGATATCATTTTGTTAAACTAAACAACATTGCTCTGTTTTCTTACAGATGGAAGAAGATGCACGACGACGACAATAAGGATGACCCCTCGCAAGATACGAGGAGACAACAGAGTATATATAAAAGATCCAAGGAGTTAAAATAAAATAAAGAAAACTAAATGTCATCGTTGCACTGACCACATTATTATATATAACTTCAAGTTGCTTTTAATTAATAACCAAATTTTGATATCTATTTAGGAGGTATTTGACAACCCTTAAAAGTACATCTCAGAAGGATTTTTTTTGTAAAACGAGACAAACTGCTTCATATAATTACTTCGTAAACCGTAAAAACACTTTTAAAACTATGGTTTGGTTTCCATCCAAACAATCCCTTAGTGTTCAGCCACAAACTACAAGACAAAAATTAAAAGAGCAATATTTCAACATTGGTTTCTTTTCTAATTCGTTTGCTTTTTTCATCTGGCCTGTTTCATACGCTGTCCTCTTTAACTCTTTTCATAAATACATACACACACACGTACATATACCTTTAAACTGAATAACAAGACTAAACAAATAATGTTAACAACAAGAATCTCTTAGTCAAGAGATGGTAGGTGATCAAGAAGACAAGAAGACACCAATTATCTTCTATCCTGGAAGATGACCTAGTTAGTCTATCTGCAAAGATAAACCCTTCTCATGATACAAATTGACCTACCAATCTTTTAGGATCTGTTTGGTATAAAGCATTAAAAATAAAAGGTAGAAATTATGTATAAATAAAGTTCACTGCAACTTTATTTGTATATGTTCTCATTTTATTTGTAATAATATTTCATATTAATATATATATATATATATATATGCGGGCATAATATTTATGCACGATGGTGCCAAAATTTTGGATCTTGATGGTGATGGTAATTGATACTTCCGTAGTATATATCCAGTGCTATAAATGATATATAATCCGAAAATATATACGGAAAACGACCTTATATACCTTTGTGGCAGTGGTAGGCGCATAAGGATGAAACAAATCTGAAAAGATTACAACTTTAATGAATATTGAACAATATCCTAGTTTTTTTAGGGATACTAATTAAAAACAATAATATTTTTGACAAAAAAAATTATACTCTTTTAATTCTTAATATAAGATCTAATTATTGAGTTAATATTGGTATTAAATATAAGAAGTATTTCTTATATTTATCAATTTTTTCGAAATCACTCTTATTGATACTCTTTCAACCATAACCAAGTAGGAGAGGGAGGGGGTATTAAAAATATGATCATGATATTTTAAGAAAAACATGACATATTTTTTATAATTAACTAACTTACTTAACTTTCTTAATCTAATCAAATTAATTAAATAAGTTATATATTAAAGATTAGAAGAATATAATGAAACATGTTAAAGGGTAAGGTCCCCCCCTTCTTTTTTTCCCCGTTGAAAGCTTACGGTCTTGATAATGAGGAAGAAGGGAGCAATGAAATTGCCCTTGGAATGCTTATTTGAAGTCCTAACATTTTATGCTAAGTAGGACTTGCTACATGGCATACAAAATGTTATGTCGACAAAGATTTAATATCAAATCTTCCTTGTCGTCTACAAAGACGTTGACATTAAAAGTCACTTAGAAATCCTAGTTATGAATTCTGTAATATTTTTATCTGAGCTTCCCCCTTCCTCCATAGAACTCTTGACCACATTCATCCATTTGATGCCATTATTCTTCATCTCTTTCCCTTTTTCACTTCCCATCACTTCCTTTATGCAATTTTTCAAGGCTTCTCGTTTAATACTCCCTTTCTCATCCATGGGAGCTCTAAGTCCCACTTTCCAAACATCCACAATATACTTCAAATTCGTGGTCTGATCACTCCAATGCGGCACTCCAATCATGGGAACTCCCGAGCTCAGAGCTTCCAAGGTAGAATTCCACCCACAATGTGTAACAAAACATCCGACAGCTTCATGTGACAGTACTTTTAATTGAGGACACCATGTCACTATCAGACCCTTATCTGCAGAAACTATTTCTTGTATGTTCTTCGGGAGCTTGACTTGTTCAGATTCCCTAACAACCCACAAGAAATAATCCTCAGTTTGTATCAAACCCCAAGCTATTTCCTCTAATTGATCCTCACTGAGGGCTGCTAAACTTCCGAAGGAGACATAAATTACTGATTCTTTAGGCTTATCATGAAGCCAGTTCATGCAAAGATCATTATTGGGTTTGAACACGCTGATACCATAGTCGTGGTCGTCTTGGATTCTCTGGTCTAAGAACATGGAAGGAACTGTTGGTCCTATTGTCCTTATTGGCCACATCTTCCTCATCCAGTCTACCACCTGGCGAAAAGCTTTCCGTTTTGTCAATTTTCTATAATAGTGCCTTCAAACATTGTTGGTGGCCAAGTGGCCGAACTATACTGATGGGAAGGAGGCATGTGATAATATCAAATTTGACTGAGAAGTCCTATGAAATTCTACATTACGGACAGGCATGCAGTCACCCAATTATTTACTGTCATATAAAAAGTGGCAAATTAAAGGTGCTTAAAAATGGGACATACACACATACATGTATGTGCATATACTCCTTTTTATTTGTATTATAAGACACTCCCGCCATCTCATCAAACCCAGTAAGAGATGATCAAGTAATTAAATTTGTTTCAAAATTAAAAAAAAATAAATTTATCCATATATAAAATCATGAATTACGTATTGAGAAATGAGAAGAAATTTTTTTATATCAAATCATTTAAATAGGGCCCATTTTAGAAAAATATAAATACTACCATACTTATAATAAAAACCATTAATTCTTTCCAAAAAGTGCCCCATGTGAGGCATGCAATTTTAGAAAAATGTAATTAATATCATACTCATTAGAATTAATATCATTCAACATGTTAAAATATTTTTCAAGCAGCTAGCACGCAATATTCTAAAGTAATTTTTGGTATAACTATGTGCTTAAAGTATTTTTCTCAGCTGTAATAAACACCTTAAACTTGGGATAATAAGTGCATATTAGACTGATACTTTAAAGTACTAAAGCACCAAAACCAATTATTGTAGGACATTTAATATTATTGAAAAATACTTTATGGTGTTAGATAGTGCTACCGAAAAAATACTTTAGATATTGGATGCTACTTAATTTTATGTTATTTTTAATAAATATTAATAATTAAATTAATGCTTATGAACTTTCCTCTCGGCAAGAAATATGTGGATTGGGTTTGATTTTAAGACCACAATTTAAAACAACAAAGGCTGGTATCAAATAAAACTAAGTTCACAACTTCATCCTCAGTGCCTATTCGACGTCACGACTTCCCGGCTAGGGGTGCAGCACCGAAACCAGCAAGCCATGAGTCTTTGCATATAACGTACATACCTCAGGCTCCAGTTCGTAAACAGTGTTTGAAAGCAACCAATCAGCTTTTCCAATATTGTCAAAAGTATCAACCACTAAGTCCCAAAAGATTGGATACATCCCATATTGCAGATACAGGAAAGATGGCAAATCAGGAGGCACAAGTTCTGGTAACGCAGGAAGCAAAATCTTGGTCTCCTTTTTAATGGGAAGTTTCAGAATCCCTTGATGAAGATGGAAGTAAACACT